GGCTATCCCTTCATCTATCGAAGACTGTATGAATTCAGCCTTGCGCCCCCGACACCGGTCAAGAGTGACACCTAATGTCTATCTTGTTCACTTGAATCGGGCCAGCTTCGGAGAGAGGGCTCGCCACCCAGTGCACATTATGCAACAAGCTCTACTCCGTCATAATCTACTTAAAATTTTCCCACTGAGGTTTCTCCACGTTTCCAGCATCTCACTGACCATTTCCCTCCCCTCCCCACTCGAATTTCCCACTGACGAGTAAAACTTGTATCAACCCCAGAATTGTTACCCCAGATCCAATCCACAGTTTACCACTACGTGCCGAGATGCAAGCGAAGAACTGCGAACCTGTGACACGGCTCCTTGCACTCCGCGTCCTTGGTTCGGAGACCCCTTCAAATCGACTCCAAACCAAGGTAGAGTCGACAACAGTACCTAGGTAGGTTGCTATAGTGGGTAGGCCTACGATGTCGGTGGGGGTTTTGGGTTGCACGGTTCAACAGGCTCAGGTTCCTGGGACCGGACTGCCACCCGCTGTCTTTCTTATTTGCACAAATATTAATCCCCGTGGCTCATATTTGTTATTCCTTATGTTCTAGCCTTCTAGTCTTCGCTATCATATTAGTATATTGAAATTCTTCAATCATGGGTTCTCTGGGATCATTTCAGCAGACAAAGTCGCTCTCTGACATCAAAAATAAGAAGCTACTTCACTATCATGGCTTCATTGACGGACAGTGGGCCGATGCAGCTTCCGGGAAAACATTCGATTTGATCGATCCGGGCACAGGTAAGATCAACAGCACTGTTCTCGCACGGTGGTAAGACAGCCGGCTTAACCACTTGAAGGTGAAAAACTCGCCACTTTTCCTGAAATGGGAGCAGCAGATACGGCTCGAGCCATTGAAAGCGCCTCCAAAGCCTTCAAGACGTGGAAAAACACTTCAGGCCGCGAACGTGCGCGGATGCTGAGAAAATGGAACGATTTATGCTTGGAAAATACTGAAGACTTCGCCCTGATCATCACTTTGGAAACGGGCAAACCACTGTATGAGGCTAGGGCCGAAGTGATCTATGCTTGCAGTTTCCTTGAATGGTTTGCAGGCGAAGCTGAGAGGTAGGAAATTCTGAATCTTCTTTCATGGCGAAACCCACGCCGCGTTATCGTGTACTGACAAATGCGACAAAAATCAGAACCCATGGCGAAAACATTACCACCGCCAATAGAAATCAGAGACTCGTCACCATGAAGCAGCCGATCGGGGTTGTCGGGTGCCTGATGCCCTGGAACTACCCAATGGCTATGATTACTCGGAAAGCTAGCGCTGCCATCGCTGCCGGATGTACTACCATCTGGAAGCCTGCCGGCGAGACGCCTCTGTCTGCCGGCGCCATGGCTGTTCTTGCTCTTGAGGCGGGCATCCCTCCCGGAGTGATTCAAATTATCACCAGCTTGACAACCGTCGCGGAAGTAGGAAAAGAGATTTGCACAAACAAGCTTGTGAAAAAAGTCAGCTTTACTGGCAGCACGAGGGTTGGCAGGCTATTGATGGAACAATGTGCGCCGACAGTGAAGAAACTTAGCCTGGAACTTGGAGGAAATAGTCCTTTTATCGTTTTTGACGACGCCGATGTCGACGTTGCCGTTGAGGCTGCTGTTATGGGTTAGTAATATTTCCAGAGGGATCTGCTGAGGATATCCATCTTTCACTTGCTGACCCATTTGACAGCGAAATTCAGAAACACTGGCCAGACATGCGTGGCTGCCAATCGAATTTTCGTCCAAGCAGGAATCTATGACAAGTTTGCAACAGCCTTGTCCAATACAATTTCGACATTCAAAATCGGACCGGGAACTCAGGTACTGCCGTTTCAATATGGATTTGTGCTACAAACGTATATACTGATCATGGTTGTAGGATGGCGTTTTCGTTGGGCCATTGACTCATGAAAATGTGCTCTCGAAAGTGCTGACTCACATTGAAGGTCTGACTTCCTTCTGCCCACCCTGGTAGTATCCATAAACACACTGACAAAGACTTCAGAGGCAAAAAGCAAAGGAGGCAAGATCATCTTGGGTGGCAGCCGAGTTGACGGAACAAAAGGTTACTATGTCCATCCGACCATTATTACAGGTCAGTCTTCATCTCCGAACCTCCCAAATTGCTCCTCTTTCATCTTCGAAGCCGCTAATCAAGTTGCTATGACGCACAGATATGCCGCGCGGCACCATAACCGAGAGAGACGAGGTCTTTGGCCCGGTCATTCCGCTGTACAAATTTCATACAGAAGAGGAAGTCATCGAACTTGCAAACAATGTCGACGTAGGGCTCGGAGCCTTCGTCATTACGTCCAGCATGCCCAGACAATGGCGTGTCACGGAAGCCCTGGAGGTGCGCGTCCTTCCTGAAGTCGACTTTACGATATGAACGTTTTGCTGACCATGAACGACCTAGGTTGGTGTCGTTGGCGTGAATATTGGGCTCCTTTCTGCCGCGGAGAATCCTTTCGGAGGCGTGAAGCAATCAGGCTTCGGTAGGGAGGGTGGGAGACAAGGTATTGATGAGTACCTGATCCTCAAGAGCATGTTCCTCAATGTTGCAACCGGATGATTTGGAGGAGGGTGTCAGGGCGGCACGGCTGAGATTCCTCTCGCATATGTGAGAGAATGTGCAGTAAACATACGAAAATAGAGTCGTGCTGCGTCCATCGTGGTCTTTAAAAGAATTTATGGTGCCAATCACCAGGCTTGGCTGTCTTGGAAATTTGTCTTTATAACGTACTCCTAGCAATCATAACAATGCAACACCAAGCAGATATAAGACGTATTTAACGATGTTGTCTTTCGTTCTAAGTATAGTGTGCGTGAACCAGATAAAGTGGCATTGATAACGTTCACTCATTTCGTCTCAAAATCCGCCTTTGAGAGTTACTCCTCCGGCGGCAGCATCAAACTCGGCGCACTGATTGATCCCCACGACACTAAAGACATCGTAGATGCCACCAGCTTTATCTTCTCTCTCCGTCACTAACCCGGTGTCGCGAAGCTCCTTCATCGCGCGCCGAGTCGAGTTATAGACCTCGGCCAACGACAGAATGGACCAAATGACAATCTTAAATCCCATTTCTTTCGCTTCCTTCGCACTGATTATCGGAGTCACCCCCCCGTGAACGATGTTCAGTAGACATGGGATAGGAGCGAGCGCTTTCACCGCCTCTCGGGCTTGCTCCTTTGATACAAGACCTTCGAAGAAGGCGACATCGGCGCCTGCTTCGTGTGCAGCTTTTAATCGTCGAATTGCCTCATCGAATCCAAGAGATTGGAGGGAGTCTGTCCGTGCGATGATGACAAGATCTCGGCCAGATGCCTCTCGAGCCATGCTCGCGGCGCGGATCCGAGTCAAGTATGTATCCAAGGGCACTAGTTCCTTATTACGGAGGTGGCCACATCGCTTGACGAACGCCTGGTCCTCGATGTGCAAGGCGGCCACGTTTCCTTCGATATACGTTTTCGCAGTTCGAGCTGCAGATAATGATGAACCAAACCCTGTATCGGCGTCGGCGATCACTGGGACAGACCAGTCCAATCCAGCAATCATGCTGGCGTTAGCCGCCATCTCGGTCATGTTGATGATACCTAAGTCTGGCGCGCCTATTCGAGAAGCAGCCGTGCCCGCGCCTGTCATATAGAGTGCGTCGAAGCCAATGTCGAGAGCAATGCGGGCCGTAAAGCCATCGTAGACACCAGGACAAACAACTATCTTCTCGGGATCGTTCAACATCTCGCGCAGGATGGTTGCGGCTTGTCGGAATGGCTTCTTGCCCTCGCCATTCTGCTGCGCAGCACTGGGATTTCCTGTTCTCATGGCTGGAGAGTAAACTGTGTTTGTGAAATGAAGTTCTTCATGCACACTGGCTAAACGTCTGCACCACGGCCTCAAGTCGTCAACGGAAGCCCAGATTAAATTTATAACGCCACTTGTTGAAGATGCTTCCGTTGACGGATGCAGAGGCTACCGCAGCGGATAGTGATACAAGCACATGACAAGTCCAGGTACCTTAACTTGGGATCAGTTTTGTGCACAAAACACCAGCATCACCATTGCTACGCGCAACAATCACGGACGACAAAAGAGGCAAGAGGCAACCCCGCTCAGTGGGGAATGTGGCGTTGAGTGGGGTTTGTCAACCAATACCTTAGCACCTCGTAGCACTGTAGAACTCGGTACAAGCAAATACTGAGTACGGAGTTACCCAGCGGCACGAGCGGAGCTGCCTTGGAATTTGAAGCCCGGCCTCGGCCCCTCTCGAATATATCACCTAAAATCAACGTTAAAATGCTGTAGGTTCTACTTAAATGTCACGTGTGAAGTACCCGGCTTATTAGCACAAAGGTTGCTGGGGATGTGGGGGTTAGAGACTTCCGATCGGATGGTGCGAATGCGGACGCATATCTGCGAGTTCGGTGCTTGCTCGTAGGAATCGCCTTCCCCACATGATCCGCATCGGACGAGGATGGCCGATCGGAGTTTTACAGTATTGCAGAGGATAGAACAACTGGGCTTCGGTTTATGCTGGCTAATGGATTTGTTGAACATTCCAAACTCTGGAAGTTTGGATTTCTATTACGATCAAGCCAGAGGGTGCAGAGACACATCCGTCGTGGAATTACCCATTAGAAAACTCAGCGCTACTTCCATTCCGTGTCGTCGACCCTGTTTGCTGGAGAGACAATAGCATCAACACGGTTTCTTCGAATATCGTTGCTCCATTATTGCCCTCTGTCATACTGAGCCAATGCCTTGCCGACAGGTGCCTTCTGGTCGCAAGGTAATGCTTTCTGGAAACCTTTGAAAAGGAGACCCTGAGTGGGAGACTTGTTGGCGGCATTGCATCGAAAACTCGCCTCAGGTGCTGAGGTTTGCAGAGAGACTTTAAGTCGGCTCTAATTGCAATCATTGTCTTTAGAACCTCGAGCGCTCAACGGTCAAAGTGATCCATCATGTCTGCTCCGTACCATTCTCGGGAGTCCGGGTGGCAATTTCAGAGATCAACCGTCCTACTTGGTCCTCCGTCATATTGTTCTGGAAGGCGACCTGTTTTAGACTTACCCCGTTTGCAATACGCTCCGCCATTACATGGACAAGCGTAGTACGGCCCGGAAAGTCTTTGTTGTCTGACATGTCCCTGATGTCATTTGTTTCGTTGTTGTTTGTCGAGGTGGTAGTCTGTGATGCCTCAAGAGTCAGCCTCCTGCCAGCACAATGGCGACAGATACTATTTTACAGGACTTACCTTTTCAGTGTCGCGCAGAGCCCCGTTCGAACTCATTTTGGTCTTGGTGAAAGAGGTGTCAGCTAGGTTGGTCCTGCAAAGATAGGCGAGTGCGGATCTGATCCTGCTATGTCGGTGTCGGGAACTCCAGCGATAGGTTTTCAAGTGCTGTCGGCTGCGCGAGGACCTCTGCCGCGAGGACCTGCGAATTTCTTCACCAGCACAGCATCACTCACCGATTCGTAGAAGTGCATATGCAGTTCCTTTAGTCTTCCTCAACAATAGCCACCTCCTTCTTTGGGCGTCGCTAAAAGATAACTCTCGGTCTGAGATACGCGTATTGACTTCACTCGAAGGCTGCTCACCCAGGCAGCCTTTCGCGTGCTTCATTGCTTACCATCTACACAGTCTCCGCGTGCGACGCAAAATCCTTCAGCGTGTTTAATTTACACTCGCAAACTTATTGCTTTGCTTTGTCCTTTTTTCTTCATGCTCTTTGTTCTTGATTCCTTTGTGCCTGGCGCAGCGTAGTATAAATGATATAATTATAATTTATGGGCGAAGCAGAAAAAGAACAGGTAAAAGTAAATTGCAATGCATTTTCGACGAAGACAAGAGACGGCACTGGACGACTGGCTAACTGTATGAGAGCTTCTGCTACAATTCTGTCCTCAAATTCCCTCCCGACACAGCCAGAGCGAGCCAGCGTACGACATCATGGCAGAGGCTAACATGATCTTTACTAACGGAGTCGGTGTCTACGGCGACCACCACCTTGTGATCGAGAAGGCAATTCGTGAGCTCTCTCAGGGCAAGCACTTACGGATGAACTGAATGTCACCGCACCCTGGCTCGTTTTTCTAATCTGCGAGTACCATAAGGGGACGGTGAGTAAGCTGGAGGCTTATGGAATAGATAAAAGGTGCTCGATGATGCTGATGGTAGAACCAGTTATAAAGTTCCTTTCAAGCAGGCGCTTAGAGGTGCAAAGCGAGAGGCTGACTGGAGGGCGTTGAAGGCGATCTGGTGTACATGATTGCCTTCCCAATTTTTATGCTGCTGCTCATTCTGTGGCTTTTCGGTTGAGTTCAAATAGGAGAGAAGTACTAGTCAGCAAAGTGGTAGTTGAGATAGAACAGGAAGAAGCAAGGAATCCTGCAGTGAATACATCTAATGTCTCACCTTGATATTATGAGTGAACCCTGCGACAGAGTTTTTAGTCTCCTAGATGACTGGACATAGCCACATTGCTCTTCTCTACGATTTGATCAAATCTGCGCTCGGGTTTATTAGTCTCTACGGTAGTTTTTGGGGGGAAGGATGAGCTCATCTAATCCTTTTGAAGGACGTAAGGCTAGTGCCCCGGGCAACAGCTCCTCCTTTGTATATCACTATCCTTAGGTCCAGCTTAATCCACATTGGCTGGAGGACTCTCTCACCAATGGCCGCATCCCTAACATGTATCTCTGCATCGATGTCCTGCTAGTCATATTAGTTGATACTTACATCCGGATCGTAATTCCCAAAGGGCTGCAACTGCCACAGCATGACAAAGAGGGAACTGCCTGCTTAGAGGCAGTAAATTCGCACTGCCTCTTCTAATTCGTTTCTCAAGCCCTACTTTAAATCCAACAAACTTAAGTTTCTTCTTGTTACGCAAAAACTACTCTCATTCCACCGCAAAAACACTCTCCTCAATTGCATCATCCACGTTCGAAATAGTTCAGTCTTGGTCTACAATCATTTCCAATTTCATTGGTCCACACTACCGAGAAAAAGTTCCTGGCTTATTTCAAAGGTAGGAAGACAGGAGTTTATGTAGAAGAACGAATGGCATCGCCGTCAGAACAAATCATTTCACTCACTGTTCCGTCCATTGAGCAGGGGCAAGGTCGAAAATCCAGTATGTCTCCGCTGACCAATGTCGCTGCAACAGAACAGTTAGGTTCGAATGGGCAGACTGTATCTCATTTGGTGCCACGTTCTCAACATGAGGCCTCCGCATCTGCCAGTGGGCAACCGAGGACTGTTACGCGCCGATATGCAAAATCGCTGACAGCGCAAGATGTGTACAACCTCGCAATAGATCCAGCGCTGGTACCGACGCCACTCATCATTCGGAAACGGACTCGGAATACATCAGCTCTCCCGGCCCTTGAGAATTCTGCAGCTGGCAAAGACGCGGAATCAAATGAATTGCCTCAACATAGGGCGATCGTTGATGTATCAGCAAGGGACACCCTTCTGGTTGTGGATGAAGAGATTCAGTCATTCTATTCTCCCATGCCAGTCTCAACTTTCAACGAAGAGGGGTATCACGGTGCTATACTCAACCACACCGACATAGACGGGAATGCTGCCTCGGTTGACTGGGAAGAATGCGGGAAATGCCTATCGTTGATTGAAGCCAAACGAAACGTCTTGCAAGACAATCCACGTGAGGGAGAGGTTCGAGAATGTTCAGGCGCTGATATTGACCATAAAGAGAAGTATCATGACGCCCTTGAGAGACAAGAAGAGAGCATGAGCAAGAATTCCGATGCCCAGCTATCCAACAGTCACAAAACCACATCTCCACAGGTTCCGAGCATTCAAGAACGTCTCCTACTCCCTGTCATTAATATCATCGTCAGCCCCCCGCCAGATGTCACTACGAGACCACAGACTTCCGGATTCAAGAAAGTTTTGTGGATGATTCCAAAAATAATTGTGTCTTTACTCGCTGGGAGGCTTCTGGGAATACTCGTGTCAGAGCTGCAAGAAATTGTGTTTCGGCGTGGGTCTTCCGTAAAGCGATTCAGTCCACCTCCGTCGACGACATCTACAAAACCTGCTTGAGTACGACCCTTGGAGTTTTCGAGCATTTGTGTCTGTTACAAGCCCTGATGCTACTCAAGTCTAGCCCAGGTTTTGCTAATTTTTGAAAGCAAGTGAATTAGATCTGATTGCAATTGGAGGATTATCGGACAATAAGGTAGGAGGACATGCGATCACGTGGAAAGGCAAGGCTTGATAGGTCAGGGGTAAGGCTGAACTACCTTGGAAACAGCGTGTAAAAGGGTTAACCTTTTGCTTCCTCGTAGAAGTTTCATTACCCTCCAGACAAAATTTCACTCCTGAACTACCATATCATTAGTGAGAATCTCCTTCTTCTATCACCACTGCATCTCAGCTCCAGTACTGTGAGGCTTTTAAATTGGAAGGTGGTTCAAGAATTCGTATGTACCAGTTTCGCATAAATGCAGGCGTTTGCTTACCTGCTAAATATCGAAGTGAAGTTTAGTGAGGGAGACTTTTTTCTTCATCCATACAACGCAATAGAAGGCAATCGCGTACCAAAGTCTAAAGTTAATTTAAGCTGCACAGTTAATTAAGAAGAGGTCTCTACAATGGGACGGTATTCCATTCTTCGCTTGTCCAAGTCTCTTGAATTTGGAATCAATTTTTCGTACTTTACGTACCTTCATTTTCACTTCCAACCTGTGGGGAAACTGATTCCAGAAGCATAACGTCGCACCTAGCCTACATAGCACAAGGCAGTTCTTATTTGTGAAGAGTCTCGACCCGGAGTGCGGTTAGCTGCTTGTATCACGGGTGGAAGACAGTAGCTGAACATTAATCACTTCAGGCGCGGCTTCACTTCGGCCGCTCTAGGAACAAAACGGACAACTATGGTTCTGTCTCGCCTCATCTTTTTCTCTTCTTCTTCTCAAATCATTCAGCTCTACAACAAAACCTGGTCGTCTGAAACAATTTTGGCCTTCGAGAACCTCAAACCAAGACCATCTTCAACACTAGTCCTACGCGTCTAATCATGTCGTCCTGTTGCCTGTCCGAAGGGGCAGGCTCCGACTCTCCTCTCGAGTCGGTACTTCCATCCAAAGTTGAAAACACCAAAGTCCGTCCTCCGAATGGCGAATTGTCTACCAAGACCAAGGAAACTTTGTTTGCTGAATCTTTCGTCACGCTGCCGCTCCAGAAGTCCCCAACGATTCCAAGCGCTGCTGCAGGTGTTAAAAAGGCTGTTCATACCGAAAATCTTCTAGTCGAGGATAGGACCGATATGATCACATCTAGCTCTTTGGAGCGGGATCGCGAGAGCACAGTATGGATTGTCACATCGAGATGCGGTAAATTAGGAGACATGGCTTCTCCTTCCTCCCCTCCTCCAGTATCACATATTGCTAAACATGAACGAATCGCAAGACAGCGCCAACGAAAGTCGGACAAGGTAGCCCCTGAGGGTCACCATGTTCAAGACAAGCACGAGCCGAAGTATTTCGAGTCCGCCGAGACTTGGATAACGCACGGGTGCTTGGTTTATGCCAACTGTGAATTCATCCATGCCGTACGAAAAGTGGCTGTTGGATCTACCGTACAGTCAGTCATTGAGCAAAGAAACTTAGATGTCACGGAAAGCGACCTCGTGAAATATATGACCATATTTTGCTCGAGGGCCATCACAGCAGCTACTATTCAGTGTGGCGATGAGACCGACGATGCCACCGACGATGCAAAAGATCAAGATGTGAATGGACAGAACATGGAGGTCGGCGACTCTGTTGAGAAATATTCGGGGTTTGATGACATTGCCGAAGAGCTCCAACGTAAGGCAAGACTCATACGGCTTGAAGCTAAGGAAGCTGAAAAGTCGCATCGCCGCCTAGTTTGGTTGTTCCTCATACTCCTCTTCCTGACAACAGCACACTTAGGATGGAGTGTGAAGACCATGATACGGCTGGCTGCGAAGTTCATGTACTGAACTTCCTCTGAAATGGGACGAGTCTTCAACGAAATAACCTTTTGCAACCCAAGCAGACGACAGAGGTAGTTTCACGGAGAAGGAGCAAAGTAAGCGCGAGAGCTGGAAGGATTCGGATTTTGCGGGGCCAATCCGGAGATCAGCAGAGCCGTAAAGAAAAATGTGTTCGCATCAGGGCAAGGCGGCTATGAACCAGAGGCTTGTCGGATCACCGTGAAGTTTCCTAGCGCAACAGGATGTTGCTGGGACGAGGCTGAGCTCGGTCGGGGTGCTAACAAAGCAAATTTCAAATGACAGAGCCAAATTTTAAGCATCAACTCAGAAGAGGTCATTCGAGTGTTTCCTACTTGACTTTTCACAGGCTGCATTTTTCATATTGCAAAGGGAGCTCTACCCACTACTTGTTGGCGTTTAGGGTACTGCAACTAACGATTATCGTCATATTCTCATGCCTCCAGCGCAAATTGTACGGTAGGGCCTTTCTGACGCTGGTCGGGTCCGCCACGGACAATTCTATTGCCCGACGCACTTTACAGCCCCGAATCATTTACCCATGTGATATCTCCAACGGCCGAGACCAGATACCAAGTATTATAAAAACAGGTTGACGGTGCGTCTTGATTGCTTGGTCAAATCTCCTCGCCTATGTGAATTTAACAAGAGAGCTTAATATCACTACCAAGACAAGTTGACACACCCGCATGACACCTCGGTATCGGACAAGCACTGGATTTGCGTTCGCGGAATTTTATCATGTCTTCATGTAATCCAACAATCGCCATTATTGGTGCAGGTCCTGCTGGACTGACACTCGGTGTCTTGCTCTACAATCGTGGCATCCCGTTTAACATTTTTGAGCTGCGCCAACTTCCAACGATAGACGAACTTGCGAAACCTTCTGGGTCCCTTGACCTTCACGAGGGCTCCGGTCTTGCTGCTATCAAGGAGTGTGGGCTATTCGACCAATTCCTTCCACTCACTGAGGAGTGCTCTGAGGACGACAGGATCGCCGACAAGGACGGGAACATCCTCTACGCGGACGGGGGCGAACACTCGAATCGCCCGGAAATCTCTCGGCATGCCCTGACCAAGCTTCTGTTGAGCTGCCTCCCAGCTGATGTTGTCAGGTGGGAGCATAAACTGGTCTCAGCTGCCAGCTCCACTACCTCCGGTTACACGCGGACAGAACTGAACTTCGGCCCCAAGGGCAAGCACATCTTCGACCTGGTGGTTGGTGCCGACGGCGCCTGGTCGAGAGTCCGCGAGCTCCTGACAGATGTCAAGCCGCACTATGCAGGGATCCAAAACATAACCGCCACCGTTCGTCACATCACAGAGAAGCATTCACACCTAGCCGAGCTTGTCGGTCGGGGAACCTTCGCCGCCCTCGGCATCAGACATGGTGTATGTTCGCAGCGCGGAGCGCAGGACTCTGCCAGGATCTACGTCTTTGTCACAACCTCCGACGAAGACTTTGCGACCAGCGCAGGTTTGGCCGGTAAGACGGCAACAAATGCCAAGGATTTGCTTCTGGCTGACGACGCCCTTTTCGGAAAATGGGGCACAAAAATCAAGGAGCTTGTGAGTGTTGTGTTCGATGCGGAAACAGCGGACAATCCTGGTGCAAGTGTGGACGTCAAACCGCTGTATACGCTGCCGGTGGGAATCAGTTGGGAACATAAGGCTGGACTCACTGTGATCGGCGACGCGGCGCATCTAATGTGTCCATGGGCCGGTGAGGGCGTCAATGTCGCCATGTGTGACTCGCTACTACTATCGCGAGCAATCGTCAAGGCATATGAAGTGACCGGGCGGGATGCAGGCGCGTTTCAGCGGGCTCTCGAGCCACTGCTGAATGAGTTCGAGGTGAATATGATGGCGAGAGCGAAGGAGAAGGCAGAGGAAACCTTTAGGAATGGCCAGGTCATGTTCGGAGAGTGTGGCGCGGCGGGCATGGTGGAGCTCTTTAGGAGCCACGGACAACCGGAGCAATAGGCTCGTACTGCGCATTTCAGTAGGTATTGCTTACTATATACAGAGCGCCCTAGCCATAGAAAGCTTCAAAGACAGTGGCACGGGATTGAGCCAAAGAGAGATTAACATGGCACGTTATGTCTAGCTATAGATATCGATCTATCACGTTTACACAGGCATGAGGAAAACAACTTCCTGCTCCCCATGTCCCAGGAGCCTCCCAGGATCGAGGAGCACATCACGTACTTGGTACAGCCTTGTCAGTGTTCAGCACGTGCACGGAGGATGCGACATGATGCCAAGGGACATTGGCGGGGTTGTGGATTCAACATTAAGGGTGTACGTCGAGAAGAATGTACGGATTGTAGATGGAAGCGTGCTCCTTTCGCTCGTGGTAGGCCGCAATAAAACCACTGTAGATGTTGTAGCAGCGAGAGCCGCTTATCTTATTAGGGTGGACAGAGGGCAAGAAAACAAAACCATGCAGGGCTGCGAGGCTGCAAAAAAGGAGCATCAACAACGACGATATTAGCGCGCATTTGCCGTCGCCAGAGATGCCTAAATTGATCGAACTAAGCCCAAAACGTCCTTAGTCCAAGGGGCTCTCACCACCTCGTCTTCCCATCCTTGCGCGAGTATTTGTATCTGACTCCAGATCTTGTGACGCAGTTTGCGCAGTCCACCAAAAGCATCACATGATGCCTCTGTGTTAGCCGAATAGTCTGTGGATCAATATTGGGCGATACGCCGATCATCAGGCAAGGCAGACTTGCGCCAAGACGTGGGGTGAAAACGGACGAGGCGTACGCGTATTCGTATTCATTTCTTCCATGACCACAATCCCCGCAAATGAGAGGGCAATTGACAGAACTCAATTCACACCACTTATCTATGGTATGCTGATGACCTCTTCTGGCGCCCTTGGCGAATTGGGATGGACTTGTACTTGTACTTGTAGGGTTTCGAGGGACTTCATCGTCCTCAAGCGACACCTCTAGCGTCTTGCCATTTTGCCCTTTCGCCTGGCACTCATGATGCTCATGTGGGTCACACCATTTATACGATTTGGATGAGAATATCTGGATCCCCTTCGACAACACCATGGACGATTTCGCCCCTGGAACAAGTATAGACCGCATATTAAGAGAACACAGGTCTGCAATATCATCATCCGCATCATCTTTTGGCCTTGTTCTCCAGTATCCCCACCAGGTTCGCTCATCAACTCAAAATGTCTGAACAAAGTATGCCCTTTTCATCATTTCTTTTGCTTCCCCCAATATGGCCGTGCCCAAGCTAACACTCGTCTCTCAAACGCAGTTACAGTCAACCCGTACCTTCATCATGTGGCCAAAGGCGCCTCGTCCGCCTTTGCCATTCTCTTTTTCTTTTCCTTCCTCTTGCACATCTACCAAAGCAGGCAAGTCCGATAGCCCAAACTCGTCTCCATACAGTGTGGATCATTTGCTTTTACAGCTAACAGTGTACGGGATGTGAGTAGCAAGTACAAGTCATGGCATTACTCCATTTGTCTCCCATTCGCGGCCGCCGTGACGGTCGCGGGGTTCGTCTGTCGTGAAATTTCGGCGTTCAACGGCTCGGACCAGGTCAGCGCTGTCGAGGCGCTTTTTTATACCGCAACGTGAGCATGTCCCTCCAGGCTACTGCGCTGTGTAGGACTTTGGCTGACGGGTGGATCAAAACAGATACGTCTTCACTATTCCGCTTTATGCTGTATGGAATCTACTATTTCCAGCCCTTCTCCTCTTTGTCTCTCATCCCTCTCTGACCACAATGTAGTTCATCCTTCATCTAGATTACCACCTTCCCACCGTCCCGCCCTCGTTGGTTCCCCCGATCCATCCCCCACTGTATATGCTCCTCATTTCCGTATTCACATCCGCGATCATCGCTTGCCTCGCCCAGGGCTGCGCGACATACTTCTCCCCTGAAGGCAGATCATCGGGCGAAATCACATCGGGACTCCGCCTGATCAAGGCGTCGCTCTTCCTCCAGCTATTCCTCAACCTGCTCCTGATCGTCATCCTCAAAGTCTGGCTCCTGAGGCTGTGCATCCGCCACCGTCGGTTCCCCGAGCAAATCGGTCGCCTGCCGAGCCGCATGGTGGAGGTGGTAGGACTGCTCTTTTTCCTGCTCGGGATGATCATTTTGACGAACGTCTTCCGCACGATCCAGATCTATGCCCAGCCGACGTCGCATCTCTGGACGACCGAGGGGTGGTTCTGGGGCTTTGTAGTCGCAGAGTTGGTTGTGTATAGTGCGCTGTGGCATTTGATGCATTTGGGCCGCTTGATTGGCAAAGAAGAACGGGGATGGAGATGTCATGGCCCCAAGAGAGCGGGAAGTGGGAGCGAGGAGCCTGCTACCCGTCAAGTCTAAAACAGGGTAAAGAGAACGATGAGAGAAAGGGAGGAAGACCAGCGGTGCCAAAAAGAGGCGATATTCGCGACTAATAATATGACGGTTTAGATCCAGCCAATTTAGGCTATGCCGTTGCCGTCGCCGTCGCCGTTGCCGCCGCCGTTGCCGCTGGTGAAGCAGATAGGCGCAAGGCTGGAGGAGTCAGCTACTTCCGGATAACGCAGAATGACAATCACACATAGTTCACACTGTGGACATGCGAATGAAAGCCGTGCTATTGTATTGTCTATTGATGAGTTCTGTCGCCTCGCCCATTCTTGCTTTCTGTCTCAAATGCAGCCCGAAGTTATTGCTTTTGTTCCGCTGAGCCCTTTTTTTTGGTGGGTAATCAACTCCTGCAAAGGATCTTCGATGTCATCAATCGTAAGATGCAACATAACCATAATATTAATACACCTTTTAAGTCAGAATGATCGAGGGCAGGTATTTCACATCCTGCCTTTCTGTTGCAGCTTGATAATAGTGAACCCCTTCCTCGAAGTAACCTGTGGTTTGCCAGATTGATGTCGTTGGTGTAAACATAACGGCATTCAAGTCTAATCGATGCCATTCACTCTGAGGCAAGCCACTGTCAGTAAAATCCAATCGCCCTCGTTCAAGCACTGAAAGGTAACACGCTGCAGGCCAATCTGCCTCTCCGTGCAATACCTTCAACACCCTTCGGTAATCTGTTCAGTTTTCTTAATAACACCACTAAACCGTCCCGTACCACCTTCAAACTCTCCATCCTCAACCGCAGCCCATCGCTCAATGTTGTTAGGCCAGCCGAATCTCATGCCCCACGCCTCCTCGAGGACCCGTTTTTCGATCGGATGAATGCACTGAGTCAATGTCCCTAACCACGGATAATGGGCATCAGACATCATGATGTTCGTCGTGTCCACCTTCTCAGAGGTATGAGTTGCGACATTCTGCGTGTCAATTGTGGCAGCCCCCTGTCTACTCTCAAGAGATGACACTTTGGTAAATCGCTCCTTGCGAACATCAAGGGCAGTCTCAATCATAGGTTCGAAATGAATGGCTGCCGAGTTTTGGTTAAAATCTGACGACGGACCTAATGTCGAGATCTTGACGTAGCCACAGCTGTTGAGAATGATCTGCTGAATGTGCCCGCGGAACGTTGGTTTGGGCATCGGCTGCAATTCTCTGTCAATGAGTCCTGCGTCGTACTTGTGTCCAAGAAGTGTTTTCCCGGGTGTAATAGCATCCAGTACTCGAGCCCAAGCAGCCCCACTGGGCAAATTCTCCCGAATCCATTCTTCTCGGGAATAAAGGCAGCGAATATTACTCAGTAAATTTGTCATGGGTCTCGTGATATCGGCATCGTGATATGTGGTCATGCTGACAGAGTCGAGCGTTAAGGAATGAAGGCTTGTGTCTCTACTACTTTTCATAAAATCTTGCAGCATCCAGGGCGTGAACCAACAGTTTACGAACCTGAGCTCTCGGACGTGGTCGAACTTTGTGACAAGTGGAGAACTAGGGACATCGGTCATGTCAAACAGCCACTCACCAGGATACTCGACAATTGGCGCGGGCAAGACATGCTTGTTCCGTGCGAACATGCCGACAGCATGCTCTCCACCCCCGGTATAACCAAGGCTTAGGCTATGCAGACTCTCTAGCTTGGTGATGTATTTCCTCAAGAACGTGGTGAATGCCTTGGCGGCATCTGAGGGAGAGATGAGCATATTCTTAACAAACTCCCGGTCACCCATCACATGTTCTTCACGCCAATCGGGACTTATGAAGATCTCCAACGTCTTCAGCCCGGACAAGGTCTTCCAGAACTCCCATTGTTCTAAGGATGGTAGAAGTCCGGAGGACAATTTGCTGATGCGAAGAGTATGGATTGATTTGAAGTTCTGCTTGTGTGTAATGATGGCTGTCGTGTAAGCGGACAGGAAGACACGCTGCGCCCATACAGTTTCCATCAACCATTGAGCTTGAGCTTCTGTGAGCAAGCCGGGCAAGAGTGGCGATGCGGTAGGAGGGGCGGTTTTGTTTTGAATGACCGAAGAGTGACCTCCATGTTCAGCAGCAAGATTGTAGCCGCTGAAGATTACAGGCCACTGAGGTAATCTCCTTCCTCCATTTCGGGAGTGAGCTAATAGTTGGCGGTTGATTGCAGGATCAAGCGCGTTGATCGCATTTGGAGGCGCGCCATTTTGATCCAATGCAGCCTCCACCCCGAAAACTGGAGCAACTCCAACATGACCTTCTGGATCGTAATCAAATTGCTTGTCCTGATGTCTGAAGCTTTCGATGTCGCGGATTTTGAGACCGTCCAAGAAGCGAACCTCTTTAAGAACAGGGCCTGGTGGCGGCTGCTTCGCCATCAGGGTTTTGATAGTTTCATTGATGGTATTCTGCTGGGCCCATCTGAAATATTCGTTACGGGCAAAGGTAGTCCAAACATCTTCGGTCTTGAACGTCTTACCAAAGATTTTGCTCCCCTTGGTGGTTCGTCGATTGAAAAGGGCCATGTCAGAAATGTCAGGCCCCTCAAGCCAGCCGTGACCGCTGTCAACGCACAATCCAAGCTCCGAGGCTTTGGTGATATATCCAAGTGCCTCTCTCAGTAACGGCCGATTATCGTCAACGAGATCTTCGATTGCCTGCAGTTCTGGAAAGCGGGGGTATTGTTCTGTAGGCCACGTAAACTTTCCAAACCACGCAACTTGCTCCTTCTCGATGGTTTTCGACTTGGCATGCAACAAACCTTGCAGGTCGTACTCGAAGGAAACGCCAAATTGGTTGATGTCAGCCCCATACTTCTTGAACATCGAGTTCGGGGGAAGCCATCCGGACTTGCTATCCCAATCACCCCCGGTTGGGTCGAAGAAGTTCCTGTTGAAGTTGACTACAACGTTCCTCAGTTGGATAGGAGCCACGGTTTCTGCGAGACTTTTGCTGACCAGGCGGAGATTTTTCACGTCTTGGGTAGAAAGGAACCTGCAAATTTCCGTCCATAGATCGACATCAAACAGTTGTAGAGTATTTGATCCAGATCCGAGAGCTTTAGCAGCTTTAGACGAACGGGTCCTAGTTGAGCTTGTGCTAGATAGACGCATGCCAGGAGCATTTAAGGGCTTCCAGAGACGTGGGTATTGTTTCCGCGGCATTGGGGGAGAAACAATCTTCGATTTTGGATCGCTAACCTCAACGCCTGGCACGTCATCAGGGAAGAATCTTGCCCTCGGAATCTCGAGCCTAGGAGGAGCCCCTTCTTCCGCGACCCCCAACAACGAGTTTATATCCCTGGGTCTGTAGAGATCCAGGCGTCGTCTGTCGCGATCGGCTGAGTGGTTTCGTTTTGCACGCGCTACCTGTTCGATAAACTCCTTCTTCTCGCTTTGCGGGATAAGTTCGGGGATGACGCTGGCATAGTCGAAAGGAATATTTAATGGACACTGCTCTTTGGACCCAAGGCGTGTGACATCCCCGCTAGTGGGGGATTCTTGTGTTGACAATTGGCTGTTCTGGACGCCAGGAGCGAGGGTGTTAAGTGGCGTCTGAGTAATTATGTTGCCAGTTGCCTTCTGCCCAGGCATAGATGAAAGACAAGGTACCGGGCCAGTGGGTTGATCCTCAGACGAAGGGGTATGATGACACCCTTGAGTTTGGTCGTGCTGTGGATTACCCGCACAGTGAATGTCTGATGGTACAGCAGATGACGGACCAGAAAGCGAGAGACCCCTCGAATGTTTCCTCTGACGCAGCTTTGCGCGCAATGGGCTAGTCAAATCCTCTTGAGCAATGTTCCTAACGGCCATTCTCTTGTTCTTGGTGTGCTCCTCGAATGTGGTTGTCCTAGAGGGACTAGTCGTGCCTGGCAGCGAGATGCGACAATTTCGTTGGATGGAAGGTTGTCCAGACGGGCCTGACAGAGGCGGTGTTGGTAGTGATGGCTGAGACAGTTGTGGCTTTTCAGAGCCACTTACACTTTGAGTCGCATCCTGACCGGAGGAGTCCCTGCGCGCTAGGCGCTCCGATCGTCGAGTTCCCAAACTCACAGAATGATGGCGGTTATTGACTCGATCAGCCAACGGTGGAGCAATAGGTGTTGAATGGAGTACATGTGTAGGTGATTGATTCTTGCCACTATCGAGCAGCCCACATGTCGCTGGTACCGCTGTCTCCTTTTGTTTGCCCTTGCGTTTTCCCGATGTAGCCTCGCGTTCACGCTTCAACTTGTTGACCTCAGCTCGCAGGTATTCAGTCAGGGTCTTGGGACCAAAATCCGTTGCAAAAGCGGGAGGGACGAAGTAAGCATCGGCATCAGGAATGGGGCGATTGTTGCGTTCGACGAGGTTGTCGATGACGGAAGCAGCGGGGGAGTTGAAAGCAATAGTGCCGGGCCGTCGTTCGCGCCTAGCAGCAAGGCGAGCAACGGGTTCTTCGTAGTCTAGGTCTGTGGTGGGAAAGCGCAATCCAGATCCATCTTCTTCATAGTGGCTCGTAGTCATTCGTGGAGGGTGCCGGGTGGTCATGGTCGCAGTTGGCCAAGGTTAAAGACGAAGAGATGCACATTGATGCGGAGTATTCGCAGTCTTGTTGCTTTATAGAGAATACACGGATTTGATGAGGTGACAGAGGCAGTAAAACCACACAGACCAGAGGTTCAAGACCTCTAACTGACGCGGATGAAGTGATACAATGTTGCAGATTTGGGGAGGACAAGTTTTGGCTTAGGTCGCAGGCAGAATGCTCCAATATGTTCCTGTGGACGGAGCAGTCTTCACCGCGGCCAACGGTTATTGGCGGCATCACAGTTATCAACTGTGCCTTGCGGATCGGATTATCAACATTCCGTGACTGCCGGTCTTGGCGCTTCGTAGCCTCAGCCTTGCCCAGCCTCGTCTTGCGTGATATCTCGCACCTGCTCACACCAGGCTCCCAGCCTTTGATTGATTCAACCCAAGGCAGTGATACGCTCTGTATCTGTGACGACGCGGAATTATCGGGGATTTGTAAGTACCAAGTGTCCTATTCTTAATGCACTAGATGAAGCAGAAGATGTCGATCTTCTCCCCTCGTCGTATCCAACGCATTTCAAGCTAAACCCTTGCTCGTATTCAGCTTTCTCGTATCTTTCCATCGAGCTAGTCTACTGGTACACCTACCACACAGGTCCCTGTTCAGCATGTCAGGAGATTGTTCCCATTCCTGGCTAAGCCAGAGCTCTGGCATCTCCATCCATGTCGGCTCTCTTCTCTTCTAGGCGTGGCACGACAAAGCCAACTTAGAAGTTAAGTATGTTTCGGCGATAACGGGCTTTGCCGGTCTCCAAAGCGCTCTCTCAACACTATATAAACGCAGAGACCCACTGGTTCTCAAGTCCATGCTGAGCGATAGACAGGAAGAGTCCCAGGCATCCATAGAACTGGCGAACATAACATTTAAATCTTGAACCTTCGCTCCTCGTCTATTTGCTATCGACACGTGGCTATGCGACCCTCGAATCTTGCAGCGATCCTTCCGTCCCCGAAAGCATCGACTCTCACAATCTCTCCGGCCCCATACTCACCTCCTTCTTCCGGCGAAGTAGTGATCAAAGCTCATGCCGTGGCAATCAACCCGGCCGACTGGGCCATTCAACGACTCGGCATCCTAGTTTCAGAGGAAGACGGTTATCCTTGTATCCTCGGGTGTGATGTTGCTGGGGAGGTCGTTGAGCTTCCTCCTGGAGGACAGCCAGACGAGCGGATTGCGGGACTCAAGGTCGGCGATCGTGTGATCGGTCAAACAGGGCCACTCAGGCTCAAAGATTCCAAAGACTTGGATCTTGCTGCGGATGACCTCGAACAATGGCGCGGCAAAAAGGTGTACGCCTACTCTTCTTTCCAAACATACGTGGTCCTACTTTCCCCGTTCATGGCAAAGATCCCCGAGGCTATGACCTACGAAGACGCGGTTGTGCTGCCGCTTGGCATGACGACAGCCTCCAGTTGTCTATTTCCAGAGGTTATGTTGGGGTTGGATATGCCTCCTGCCAAAGACAAGCCTGAGAAAAGACACAAAACCCTCATTGTCTGGGGTGCGTCTTCCAGCGTGGGCTCCTGCGGCGTTCAGCTTGCAGCACAGGCCGGTTATGCCGTCGTCGGCATCTGCTCACGGAGAAACCATGAACTCGGGAAATCGTTGGGGGCGGTGCAATGCTTTGACCAAGGTGATCCAAGCGTCGTCGAATCCGTGGTATCTTACCTGAAGAGTGAAGGCCAAGAGGTGGTGGGAGCGTACGACGCCATCTCTAAACCCGAGACATTGCAGCCCCTTTGCAAAATCCTTGACAGATGTGGTGGTCGGAAGTTCATCGCCTCCGTCTTCCCGGGCGCCGAACAGTACGCCACTCACGATGTGTCCATTGTGACAAACCTGTCAACCGTGAGCAAATTTGGCGCTGGTCTTGCGCCAAAGGTATGGGATTGGCTCGAGAGTGCGCTGGAGGACCACCGGATACAATGCATGCCTCCCCCTGAACACATGGGGGAGGGACTCGAGAGTATTCAAGACGCAATGGACAAACTAGCCGGGGGGACAGTGAGCGGGAGGAAACTGGTGGTCACCCTCTAGATGAGATATATCTCGACACCTGGAAAGGGAAAAAAGGAATTCCACAGAGACAGTACGGCGGGAAAGGGCTGAAAAGGCTACGACATTGTGAAGATTCAAATGGCCCGACTTATAGAGAGGAGGAAGCGACCAACGAACACACCCTTCCTCGACACATGCTGATTCACTATCATTGTCGTCCCCTAGTGTTTTCAAGCGAGTTCTGTGTGCGAATCTGCAGCGATTCTCTATCCGACTTCTAATTTGATATGTGCACGGAATATACTTTTGCGAAATACTATAGGCGAAACTTAGTACATAGCTATGTAGTAAGCTAGTAGAGCTTTGCATCCCAGGAAACTTTCCAGAAGCGGGGCAGCATTCTTAACTCCTTTGTATATATCAGATCTACCTGTGAAGGGAACCATTGCTCCTGACACAGCAACCAATGACGATCAAAGGGATGAGGGCCGTGAATACTCTCCTTGTACAGAGGTATGATTTAACGTCCAGAGAATATATGACACAGCGACCCAAGGTATCGATGCATCAGTTAAGTCTGGATTAGTAAAGGAGTGTATGTTCAAGTAAATGCAGTGGTCGATGCGGAACAACACCACGATAAGTCTTCCCTGATGCTTAAAAATTACGGCTTCGTCGCGTCGTCCTAGAAAGATCCAGTTCTTTTCCGTCGCTATATTCCATGCTCGGGTCGGGCAATTTCGAACAAAGAATATGCTGGCTCAAATCACCATCTCTCGCATATGCCAAATCCTAGTTTAACAACTCAGTATTCCAATTGACTGTGTAGTTATCCTCGAGGTCGCCTAGGTCGATGGCGTAGATCGTGATGGAACCTAGATCAGCAGCCACACCGAAAAGCTTGATGTTGAACCCTGTGACTTTGCAGACAAGACTATTTCGGATGATTTCGTCGGTCCACTCTGGGTATCGTCTCAATGCGTCGGCGTCTTTGACAATGTACAGAAAGTGAGATCAAAGGTGTTCATGTATGAATCCCAGGGGATGACCGAACTCGTGGACGATGTGGGTGTTTGATGTCGTCTTTGGCCTCTCTGGTGGGTTCCACGATGTCAAGATTCATTGACACTCGCTCTAAGTTTTCTGCTTCAATCTGGGCATCTCGTTCATCCCAGTGATCAGATGAGTACAAATTCATCGTTTCCAGGTAGGACCAGTTGCCGCCACGTTTGAAGCGGACGCGGATGTGGGCAGAGTTGTCTTTGTCTTCCTCTTCAGCTTGTTTGAACTGGACGTTCGCCCCGCGATTCTGCCCCTGTTCTTTGCAGAGTACTTCCTCCATTCATCGGCATATTCCATGGCCTTTTTCTCAGTCTCGGTTTTCCGTCGAGGAAACCGACATTTAACACAATAGGGTCAGCTAGGTTGGCTGGCTTGCTCCACATGGATTTGGCGTACTCAATTGCAAGATGCGCAATGTTGGCTGCCAAAATCTTCCTAGGTTTATGATATGGTTCAGTTGTTGAGCAAGCTCGGCATACTGGAGTAAGGCAGCTATGCAAACCGAGCAATGAGGGAGTTTCACTAGAGTTAGGGCATCGTACCTTCGGAGCACTGCGTCCGAAACAGGGCCAACAGCTCTTTTAGTAGCAGAAGGAGTGTCCTCGTCACTCATGATGGTGTTATTAGAGTCCATTGCGGTTAAGGTAGTTGTGACATCTCATGGTCACTCGCACGCTTTGTTTCCATCGGCGGTTTTTATCCCATCAGCCTATCAAAATCTTTATCATTGGAAACATTGCAGTAGTGTTCAGCCTTCCACCTGTAACCCTTCCCGGGAGCCTCCAATTCTCTGAGACGATAAACTCTGCCATCTCTAAAGGTGTCCGGTAGTACCACCGGAGGGCTGTTGAGCAGGTCCTGGCAAATTATTTCCCCTGCCATGATGATGATTCCACCACAGTTTATGTCATCTTTGCTTTGACGGGAGATGGTATACCAGTCCAGAGTATCCGAGATTGGCGTATAGGATTGTCGGCTCAAAACATCGATCCTTTGCTCTAGACAGTTCATGTCGACGGCCCCAACGACTCTCTTCAAGGCAGGGTCAAAAGTGAGGAGGGAGTCTTCGAGGCCCTGATAGTATCCCCTCATCCTCTCAGCAATCCCATCGAATACCGTGGTTCGGTCGAGGAGACGATCGTCAAATCGAAGGTGGAAGCAGTGCCATATGCACATATCTCATCCGCGGAGGCCAATATATAGTGACGCAAGGCGAAGTCACACGGGATGGAACAGTGATTGCTTTCATCAATCAGGAACAGGTGACGCGGATAGCCGCTGTAATATCGGGAATGTGAACGACAGGGTCGAAAAACCTGTCTGATGGCGCCCGCCACGCCACTAGTTCTTTACTACTACAGAGAACGAGGACTTCCGTGAGGCTATGCTCGTAAGGCTTGTCTTCGCGAATAAGCATTTCTGCTTCATATTCCATGAGACTGTCCACTTACCTAGCAACTGCAACCGATGATCTTGGCCTGTTCTAGCACCCTGTACTGAAGGATACTGTTTCGTATCGGATTGTAATCTCGAGGCATTTCCAATGTCGTCTATCGAATGTCGGCTTCGGAGATTTCTCCTTCTCTGGAACGTTTGTGGCGGATCTTCGTCGGTCTCCATCCAATTTTGAATATCCGCGCTTTTTCCGGTCGATAAACGGCCAAAATCTTGCAGGTATGTACTTGAAATGCTTGTATAGCTCTTCTAATCGCTCTCAGAGCATGTACTCTCTATTACCTGTAAGTTTAGGTTAGGGATGGACTCGGTCTCTTGTCTGATAAGCTGACCTCTTCGTATGACCGTCCTAGTGGACGTCGTGATGTGACCAAGACCATCAAGTAGGTCCTTGAGCTTCTGGACTAAGTCAGAAAACTTTTTAGAATCTCGAATAGCCCATTTAGCCTTGGCCCTTAGCCTGCTTTTCTAGAGTATTCTGCAAACCGTGCTTGAAATTGCACCAATGGCGAGCTTTCGAAAGAGTAAGAGCAGGCTGTACTTCCTTCGACGACCATGTTCAAAGACCCTTGCGTTTCTGGTGTCTTTTCAAGACCATAAATCGATTTTAGCGAGTCAGCCTTGTGGAGTAGACTCTGGAGATTCTCAAGTATCCGTTTAACGAGTTCTCGTGTCTCCGGTTTGTCGAGAAGCGGGTCTCTATCTTCATCCGGTCTGAGGATACCCACAGCTTCGCCCCAGATCATCAGCCGCCGCTTCTCAATGCTGAGTCAGTAAGCAACAGCTCAAAGTCGGAGCCTAGATTTTTCCCTGCCTCGATGAGATCAAAGCACTGTACGCAGAGGGGAAATAGACTGGCCAAGGCAACGGCGCCGACCGTGAGGCTGATAGGCTCCACTGGAATCATGATGCTGAGACAATTGACTGTGTCAACTCGTGACAAAGCGAACAGGAGCCTCAGCCTGACAGCCCTCCTGGCAAGTATCAGGCCACGAAAGGCACAATGGAGTGGACACTTTGATGGCACTCAAGAGAGCGGACTGTTTATGATAAGAATATAGGATGCTAACAGTTGGAAAGTGGTCTGTTGTTGCTGCACACGTTGAGAGGCTGAAGGCAAAGGTTGAGCGGCTGGAAAACACTGAATTCTCTCTATGTTAGGCTAGGCGCTGTACTGGGTACGTTGGGTTGGCCTTTTTGCTAAACGCGGGGGATGGCTCTATCACGTGCAACGCCTTGCTAAGAAGTCAGGATCCATCCGCCTCATAATTAGGCCCAAACCGGGTCCCTCGTAGACGGCGATGTCAAGCTACCATGGTCGAAGAGTGGTATTCATAGTAAGGTATGAGCAGCCAATGAGAGCAGGGCCCCGAATGGAGGACTGAGTATGGGTGATGAGAAGGGATGCGGAGTTAGAGCAGACGGGCCCATCAGCCCACCTGAGCAGCCTGAGCATGAAGAGCTTAAGTTGCGCCTGAGCCGAAGTTAAGCCAGGCCACAATAACTCCGGGCTTGACCTGCTCGCCGGGTAAAGTGACGAGACAGCCATCTAATAAAACGGGTGCTAAAGCGGGGCGCAGAGTCGACGATGAAAACCATTCCATATTGTTTGTTCATTCGTATGCTGTCTCTCAAAGCTAAGCAGAGCAAGAGCAACTCCGAAGCGACACTCTTAGCCATGGGGTATCTCTATGCACATTGAAATTTCCAGCCAATACCTGTATCATGAAGTTGACGCCACCACAGTAAACTTATGTCTGGTTAAAACTCCATATGCGCGTAATCATAACAGCTCACTTATGGTTGAGCCCAATTCCCCGTTGTCCAATAAATGCAGAAAAAAATCAACCCTCGTGTCCTTGTTAGTTTCTGAACGACTTCACATCCTTTTTTGCCTTGCACCTGATGATCCCCCAGCTTTATCACACCGGCAAGGTTGAATCCTTCAAGTCTCGAATAGGAGTAATGTCTGGCCGAACAAGTTCTCATGGTCTTGTCCAACAGCCTCAGGCGTACCGTCAAGGTTCACCATGTTCACTGAAGCCTTCGTTGTAAGGCCGTACAAGCTGACATTGGATGAACATTGAATGTCGACCATGTTCTCTTGACATGACTCCGTATCCAAGCATGTTTGGAGGTAATTGTCAAAGAAGCTGTAAAGGCCAGCACCGTACATGTGAATATCGCTTGAGTCAACGATTCGCAAACCCCAAGATTTCTTGCACGAATCTGTGGTGCATTCGGCAAATGTGGGATCCGAGAAAGCCGAGTTGGGTGGAAACCCCCCCTCCAAGGCGTTGGGAGTAGCCTGCATGTACGGAGTCTCTGTCTGGATGGCGCCCATGAAGATATCCCGAGCATTGGAGAACTGATAGTTGTAGAGCTGATTGTGCTCAGACGATGTTCCGTACAACCAGACAGGACCTTGACTCTCAACGAGCAATCCACGGCCGTTGTAAATGTCGGTCTGATTGTGCGTAGTGATGTCAAGCTCATGGTCAGCAACCCAAAACCAGCAATTTTCCAAATATGCAGATGCTTGTTGAGTGACGTGCATCAACAAGAAGGAACCCGCACATTGGGGCTTGAATTCGAAGGAGCCAGTGACGTTAGCTTGGCACGTATCTTGCTGGAGCTGCGTTCCTGCAGTTCCTCCAATCCGGAAGTGGACATCCCACATGCCACAAGAACCTTGGGATGACTCCGCAACATTCCATTGCAGCATGACAGCACCAGGGGCAGGGCCGATGGTCTCGAAAACAAGATCTGACATCTCCACAGCACCAACGCTCCCCTGAGTTCCGACTTGGAAAACAGGCTTGGGATTGTTGATATCTGAGAATGCTGTACCTTGTGCCATGATGAGAGGCCAGATCTCTCCTGTGATCCGGATGTTTGAAGGGACCACGACAGTATCAGTGATGACATAAGCCCCATGGTCGAAGTAAACAACTTGATCCGGGGTGGCTTTGTTGAAGATGTTTTGGATTACCGCAGTGTCATCAGAAACGCCGTCGCCTTTGGCGCCCGCTGACTTGACGCTGACGAAGGACGAAACCGGGACGTCCTCGTACTGTGGTTTGGAGCGCTCAAAGACCTTATGGCCATCCATAAGAGATGCGGCCATACTTGGAGCAGTCAACGGTTGCTGAACGCGTGCTGATTGCAGAGCCACTGGCGTTGGGGAGCATACACCAGGAGTTGCTGATGAGGGCAGGGTAACCCGAGACGCAGTAGCATTGGTCGATACAGTCGAGGACGTGCTAAGATTGGACGGAGGGATTGGCGAAACTGAAGCGCCGCCTGTAGATGTCGGAGACGCAGAGACATACACGGTTGTGGTTGTAAACCATACACCAGTAGGAGGTGTTGGGGGGGGTATGGCTGATATGGTGAGCGTGGTTGTGGTCGTTGAGTAATATGAGATCGAAGGCGGTTGTGGGGGAAAGGCGCCATCTTGTGGTTCTCTCTTGACCTTCTGAGATCCACTTGTTGATCCTCCAGCAGGACGATAGGTGTCGCCTTGGCCCCAGGAGCCCACGATCATGCCACCTGCCAGGATCGGAGTAGTACCATCTGCACCGACAATGGCAGTCCGGACACCTGTGAAGTCGACATTCTGCAAGGCTAGAGTCCCTCCAGTAGCAGGCTGGCTTGTCTGGTTGTATGAGGTTTTGATGCCAACTGGAGTATTAGTCATGATGCTGTCAAGAAGAATAACCGAGCCCACAGTCTGGTTGACGCCATTGTTCAAGTTGGACATGTCGATGCCGACGTCACATTCGTTGATCTTCACCGACTTCAACGTCCACAGCCAGTTCCAGTTCATGAAAATGGCAGTGTTGCAGCCGTTGAATGTCATGTTGCGAGTGGTAAATTGTTGGTTGCCCAAGAAGGCACCGTAATTACCGCCGTTGAATATAAGGTCTGACATGAAGCCTCCAGAGCCATTATCCATGAAAATCCCCTGCTGTTTGTTCGTAGGACTCTTGGGGCGCATATTGAAAACAATGTTCTGGAGACTGGTGGCCTGCGCCACCTGCCAGTGGATACCAGCACCTTGGTCTTCTGGCATCTGGGAAATGTCGACGACGAAGTTGCGGATCTGTCGATAGAAATTATTTTGATTGGTATACCACTGAGCACCATTGCCGCCGGGAATGTACGGATCTGTATCGA